ATATTATTCATACAATAGAAGACTATACAACATGAAAAATTAATGAAATAAATATGGCACTCAACAAGGATGCATCACAAAAACATTTTGAACAAAAGAAGCAAATCACAGAAGAATTTACAACAGGATTCAATTTATGAAAGTTCAATATAAGCCAATCTATATATACACACATACATACACACACACACATATCTGGAATATATATATACACACACATTCATATGTGGAATATATGTATATGTAGTAAAATGATCAAAAGAAACAAGGAAATTCTTAGCAAAAAAGCAGAATAGAGGTATCTCTGTAGGAGAGGGAAGGGAATGTAAACAGAAAGGGAAACATGAAGCTTCTAGAGGACTACAAATGCTTTATTTCTTAGGTTGGGGGCTTGGCAAGCAATAGTTCCTTTCGGTTATCATTTAAACTGAGCTGGTAAATGTTCTGTACATTTTTATGAATATTATCTATGTCAGTAAAATTGCATATATATATATGTTTATATTGTAGAAAAAAATCAATCTATGATTTTGAGCCAAGAGATAGTTATTGATATATTAGAGAGCTTTAGGCCACCGCACAATGTGTCGTTTGGGGGTTTTGTTTTGTTTTTGTTTTTGATTTTTTGCACAACTACTGCAAAGTAAAATTGCCTCCAAGTCCGATAGTAGACTCCTCTTTGGGCACTTACGCTAGTGATTGTGGTCGTTAAAATTTTATTTCTGATACACCTGCTATTCCCACCCTTGTCCACTGTGTTACTGTTGCAACAAAAAAGCTACCATATAATGTGAGAGCCATTATTGCCAACAGGTCTAGGAGCGAGGACAGGAAGGGGATGCCTGCTTCAGACTGCCAGGGGAAGCAAACAGATGGTTGGCTGGCAAGAGTCAGTGACTGTCCTGTATTTGGGAAGTGAGCAGACATTAGCTGGAAGATAATCTTCCAGTGCAGGGCCATAGGTAGCAGGTGGCAGAGAGACATTCTCAGAGGCCCCCCAAAATAAGCAGGCTAAGATGACAGAACAGAATCTGAGAGCTCAGGCAAAGCAGCCTGGGCATGGGAATGGCTCCTGGGGCCATTTAAATGATGAGGTGATAGGCACTGAATGCTGAGGAAACTCCTAGGGCAGGGCAATCAGTCACTGCCAGGCTTATCTTCTGACAAGGGGTAGGACCCCAGCTTGCAGCTGTAACATTAAAACGTAATGTGTCCACTGGGATTTGGTGTGGCAGGTTTCCCTGAAGCTTCGGTTTCACTCAGTTAACTAATTATGAGAGAATGTGACATTGGTATTTACTTTTTCTACAGGGACAAATCATTCCCAGCAGGAGAGACAGTTTGTTATTTTTGTTCTGTTTTGTTTTGTCATTAAAAAGAGATTACTTACACAGTAGTAAATAAACTCTTGTTAGAGGGAATTTTTTTTCCCTCTATAATTCTATCACTTCACCTTAATGCTGACAATCATTTCTTTTGGTTTCCAGAGACATGGTACATAAATGAGCAAGAAGTGGGTATTAGAACTGGGTTTGAAAATTAACTCTACCACTTACTAGCTGTGTGATCTTAAGCAAGTTATTCATTTAAGTACCACGAGCCTGTTTAACACATCTACTGTGTACTATTTGTTCAAGATGAAATGAAATAACATAGTTGAAGTACTTCAGCACAGTGTCTCTGCATAAAAAAAGTGCTCAATAAATTTTAGCCTTTATTCTTAATGACTCTGATACTATATTATACAAATAGGAACATTTTACATTTCATTTATGCCTCATATGGTCAGTTTTCTATAGGACCCCGCATCTAATCATGAACTGTATCTTCACTTTGTCACTTCAAGCTGCACTGTGTATTAACCATCTTACTCCTCCTCATCCAGATATAAGAAGGTTTCCAATGAAAACACAATATTTAATAACATAGAAGCAAACAGTTTTCTACCCCTCCTCCATCCCCAGTACACCTTTTAACTTTTCAAAGACAGTAGGCAATGCTGAGCAAACATCACTAATCAACTCACATCTCCTTATCCACTGCCTGGACAATAATAGCATTGTGTTTGGGGTGCTTTTAGCAAACTGGAAAGTGATTGCACAGATGATTTCCCACTTGAACTCATAATCCCATGAGGTAGGCAGGGTAGGTATGATGAGCTCCACCTTACAGATAAGGAAGTGGGCTAAGAGAGGGTAAATGACAGAGCCATGACATTCAAGTCTATTTTCTGTGAAAGGTAATCTGTGGGAACTGAGAATGCTGGGCCTATTGGACTTCAGAAAATTAGATTTTCTCAAGAACAAAGTCTGTTTTGAAGGTAGCCAGAGCAACTGTTATTAGAGAGAAAAGTAAGATCATTGGTAGTAAGCTAACAAAATAGAAAGTCAAGAGGCATGGGGCTTTATATCCCAATTTCACAATCCCTTTGCCCAATGAGCCTCAATTTTTCTATCGCCAATCTGAGAACGCAAAAATGTTACTTCTCACCATTCTTAAAAGCACACATACTGCAATATCATTATCACTTACAAATGTAAGCTTGATAGAATATTCAGGTTTAATGAGAATCACAAAAACATGAACAATTAAAAATGTATAAGCATGAGAAAACATATTTTAAGTGCTAGTAGAAAATCTTGGTGGTAAAAGAAAAGGATAAGAATATTCTACAAGGATACATGGGCTAAAAGCTGATGGGAAATTAGTAAGATTAGACAAGTCAGCACTGAAATTTCACATTACATATTTGAGTAATTTTTCGAATTTGCAGAATCAAACCTAGACGCATGGACATGTAATAACTTTTGAAGCCATTCAAATTTGGATAATGTTTCTTTAACTAATCACATATACTAGTTCTTAAAATGATTAATTTGGACAGGCTATTCATACTGAGCAAGTCTTTCTGGTGATAGGCATTTTTCAAGGACTTCCAACGATGCTACCACCTACTCACCGATAGCTCATAATCCCTTAAGAATTCCTAGCAAACTACAGAATAACAATTCAGAAGTCCTCCCCTCCCCACCCCACCCCTTGTTTAGGCCTAGGGGATAAGTTCCAATAGATTGGAAGGCCAAAGCAAACAAAAGTCATTTAGGGGAACCATAGATCAAAATAAAAACAAAACACAAGTTTTGAATCAATGGAACTTGGAAGCTCAAGGATCTCTAAACATGCAATAAAAAACCTAGTCATACCAACACCGATGAGCAAAATAGCATGCCATAATAGATCATCATTAGGTGGTTGGTTACCTAATTCTGACTTAATAGGTCTACACATGATTTGCCCTATGATCTTCAGAGAATGTGATACAACTTCATGTCAGTATTATGAGAGATTTTACGATATGGCAGAATATGCCTGCCTAAAACTCCCTCTTTGTCCTTAACTCACTCACTTAACAAGCATTTGTTGAATGTTTGCTATTAGTTGGGATCTGTATCAAAGAACTCACAGGGGAGACAGGTAAATCAAGCATCAAATTTATGTGTTAAATTCTAGAAGAAAACTATTTCATGCAAATGGTAAGTGAGTCAGAAAGCTCTCAGAGAGGATGAGATGATTAACAAGGTCTCAAATGGTAAGTGTAAACCATGTATATCGCAAAAGGAGTAGATTCCTGTCACAAAGAACAGCACGGATAAAAGCAGGCAACGTGAACACATGGTGAGTTCCAGAAACTAGATGCAATACCACATGGCCAAAGCATTCAGCATGGGTAGGAGAAGAGGGAAAAGATGTCAAAAGAAGCAATAAGCAGTAGAAGTAAACAAAGATACCATCATTTAGGATTTCCATTCCGCATTAAAATACAATATTGGAAATCTGAATACAATGATTGGTCTATTGATAAGATTTCAGCCCATAGGCAAAGGGAGTAGATTTTTGCTGTAGAACAGTGTGGTGTTATCCAAGTGTACAGTGAACTAGAGGACAGAAAACTAGGGTATGGACACCAGTTTCAAAACAATTTTAAAATCCAAGTAAGACATGGAGAGGTCCTAAGCTACAACGATGGGGATGGAAAAGAGACTAGAGATAAAAGAAATATAAAAACCAGAGTTAATAAAATTTAGTGACCAACTAGAATAAGGGGACGAAGAGGGAAGCTTACAGCAGCTTTCCTGTGTTATACTTAGCTGGCTGAATGCATAATGGTGCCCTTCACTATTTAGGGACAGCATGAAGAGGAATGCCAGTAGTACTCAGAGTCCTGGTGTATCTCTCTTTTATAAGATTAATCACATTTCACTTTATATTGCAGGAGGTATGTGTCATTCAACCACCCCCTTCACCACTAGACATATAAAGCTCTTTGAGGGGGGAAATTCTGTCATATACCACATTGTCTCTGCAGATGGCCCCAAAAGCATATTTGTATAAAATGATTACATAGTATCACGGACCCACTGTAGACACTTAGTGAACATTTTTGAATGAGTGACTGAATGAACTCCCAAAGTTAGATGTGACAAAACTATTCATTTCATCCTTTGAATGAAATAATTGTGTCTTAACTGTGAATAACTCACTTCAGCTGGGTAACAATTCATACCACTACTGACCTGGTTCATTTCAGTCTTCTAATACTTTTGGCAAATTCCAACATCCAGTCTTGAAGGGACTTTTGGGAGTATCTACCACAAACTCTCATTTTAAAGATGAAAATCTATGATCATCCAGAGAAGTTACATGGCTAGCCCCAAGTCACAAAAAGTATCCAGTGATGGGACAGAAATCAGGCAGATACATTAAGCTTCGAAATATCTGTCGACCAAAATGGTTATAATAGATTTGAAGATACTACAAGATACCACATTTAGCTAGGATTCATTGAGTTTTTAAAAACGCATAACATTTCACATGAAAAAAAATACAAGGCCAATGTCTTAGAAACATTTCCTTGAATAATTCTTTCCTCTGACAGTGAAATGCAAGGAATGAAGCTCAACCTTTAATCTTGAATTAGTATAAGTAAGACAGATTCTTACCGTGATCTTCTGAAGAGACTGGTGACCTAAAACGAGATAATAAACATGATAAATGTTTTGTAAATGATACTGATAATTATAAATGCAATAATGATCAAGGATAATCTCCTAGAAATAGTACCCCCCAAATTCAATTAAATAGAAAGTCAATATAGCAGAGAGTGTAATTAATTTGTTGGTCGCATGGTATATTCTAATTGATCACTCCCAAAGCTTACCTGGATTGGTTGGATGGTTGGGGTTAATAAAATTTCAGTCCACTGCACCATGTCACGGGACTGCAACAAACTTAATTAATTCTGGATTTATGACACACAAATAGAAAAGTCATAGAAATGTGGTAATGGATGGAATCCTGTGATGTCACCAAAGGCCAGGCCTCCAGAAAATGTAAATAAACACTAGACTGAGTGTAAGTAAAAAGAAATCTACTTGGACAGTAAAAAATGAGACAAGTAAAATAAATGATATGTACCCTTATCATTATTGTTTTTTGTTTTCACTCTTTGTGGAATTTAAGGTTTAAGTGAGCATGACATAGACCCTCTGTGTGCTGGCCTCATAGCTCTAAACCATAATGAGGCAAGAGTGCAACCACTGGAGTCCCACAGAACTTTTATAAATCGATGACTTTTGCATACCATTTGGGGCTCAGCTCCAATTGTGTTAGGAAGACACCGATGAAGCATCATATCAATATCAATCAATTTTCACAATAAAAAACCTTTCTTTCTTCCTCAGCTGACCACTGATTGAGTTACTCTGAGCAATACAGATACAACCTTGAGGATGAATTCCCCTCAAGCTTGAAAGATACAGTCTTGACTCTACCAGCTCATTCTTTCCTTGGGATAAAGTGAGATGTATAATTCTGTGCTAACAGGTGATAGAATTTTGAAGGGAAAGGCAAGAAACCAGCCAGGAGGCAACCTCTGTTCTAAATGATCAGCCTGCTGGGGACCATAGCAGGAGGATGACAAAGGGAAATGCCAGAGTTTAGTAATATGCCCATTAATATAACTAGTGTTGGGGCAAGAATGATTCCATGGATGCACAGCAGTTGAAGGAAGATTTTGGCTACTTCGGAATGCTTTACTTTATCTACTGATCAGTGATATTTTGTCCATTATGTGACTTATCAGTAAAGTATAAGGACACAGCAGTCATGGTGGGAAAGCCTTAAACTTTCCTTAGTGGCAAAGTGTCAAATCATTTCAACCTTACCAGTCTCTTCAAGTGAAATTTTGCATGTGAAAGCAACAGAGGATCCCCAGATTTGGTAGGGAGAAAACTGGCATCTGGGTGATGGGCACAGGGAGCCCTGAGAGGGAACCTGCCCCAGGCTAAGTCATCCCTACAGTGTCGGCCGCCTGAGAAGTGCCACTTGGCCTCCCCAAGTGGAGCGGATCTGGACTTTCTTTGGGATTCCCCTGTTTCACACTATCACACACCCATCTTCCCCACTGGGCTGTGAGCAAATAGAAAACTAGGACCATTTCTTACGTAGTACAGAATGGGCCTCTGATTAACATATATTGAATTGAATTAATGTCAGCACCACCACACTGGGTGTTTAGACTCAAACGCATTTTGGAGCACCTCAAAAAAATCATCATGTCACCTTCAAACCACACGCAAGACAGGTTTGCCAAGCTCCTAGGCCAGCCATGAGGGAAGGGCCTAGGGAGTGAGACAAGCGCCAGCATAGGGATAATGTGAGCACTCCCAAAGCCAAAAGACATCCAATACACCCAGCAACAGAGACCCACAATCTGCCCTAGTGGTTAGGAAAAAGAAAGGGGGAGAGAGTGCTGAATAGAGGTGAATGGGATTGAAAGGTGAGTCTAATGAGAAACATATATTTGAAATAAGATCGTTTCTTAAGATGCCTAGGGCATAAAAAGAAGTCAGCAACAAGGTAACATCTTCAACCCTGGTGTTTTCTGTTGGGAATTAAGCAAAAACACATCTTGGATTGTTGGCAATTAATTTCTCACAGAGCTCTGGGAACAAAGAAAAATCCATGCCAACAGATAACTAAATGTCTCAGGTAGAAGGCTTGCGAAGCACGGCTTTTGGTGCCTTTTGTGAAAGCAAAGCACTAATATTAAATTTGAAAAATTCCAGATGGCTTTGTTAAAGTCCCGGGAGGATGCAATCGTCCAGGCAGTGGGGAAGAACTATCCATTTCAGAGTGTTTGCTAAGGATTAGTCATGTTGAGTTTCTGTGCGGAATGTTTTCCACATGCCTGGATTTGTGGAATTTTAAGACATATGGAGTATTTCAATCCTCACTCAGTATTTCACCTTTCACTCTAACGAGTCACTAAATTATACTACTGAGACATGCACATCATCCATTATTGCTGTAAAGGGGCATAAAAAGTTTTACAGAACTTAGCCCAGGAGAGAGGAAAATTCATGAAATCAGCAAGAGAAGTAGTTATTTTTAAAACAGAGGTTGAACCCCAGGAACAGATAATCTTCCTGAACCTGACAACTGAGGAATGCAGGAGAGTTCACTGCTCATTCCTCCCACTGTACCTGCAAGACTTGTGGTTCTGTTCTAGGCTGTTTACTTCTCCTCCATCTGCACTTTATCTTGGTGTTAGCATTGTTCTCATAATGCAAATTATGACCAGCATTCAAAGAACTCCAGGATTTAGAATTCTCGCCTCTTTCCTCAGTACCAGCCTTTTATGACAGTCTGTAGAATATTTACACTTGATTTTGCTTCATTTTGTTTTGTGGTTTTTTAAAAAAACATTTTTATTTACATTTCATTCAAATTCAGCAAATAACAAAAACAAAGTCCTGGATTTTAAAATCTCTCTATTTTAAATCTTTCTATTTATGTTGATTCAAACCTAAACAATAATGATTATTTGAGACCCTATTAGGTACCAGGCCCTGTGCCTCATTAAGGGGGTACAAAGACGAACAAGCTACCAATTTCAAGGAATTCAATCTAGTGAGGGAGAAAAATAGGTAAAGAAATGATTATAGTGAAAAAAGTGTAATCATCAAAATATGTATGAAGTAAAGAGGGAGCATGAGAGAGAGACCCATTCTGTTCCAGAAGAGTGAAAGAGACTTCAGAAAGCAAGAACCATGGGAACTGGGCTTGGAAGGAAAAGCAGAAGCTTGTTAGGTAAGTAAGAAAGGAGAAGAATGCCAGGCAGAAGCACCAGGCATACGACAAGGAATGTGGATAGGAAATTTCATAATACATTATCAGGCAGACAAGGAACTCAGTGTTGCTAAAACATAAAGGAGTGATAAGTTAGGACTGGAGACAGAAGAGGCAGGGGCCATTTCATACAGGGCCTGGCAGGCCATTTTGACGTGCTGGTAATTTACCTTCTAAGCTAAATGAAGTGAATTTTGGAAGCAGTGAGGTCATACATTTTCATTGGTGCTTCTGACGAGGCAGGCTGTGCAGAGTAGAAGAAAAAAGCAAGAATAAAGGCAGAAGATAAGATAAAAACTATTACTGCAAAGCTTCTGCTATTTTCTTTGAAATTCATGAAAAGTAACAGGGCGAATGAGAAACAGAAAAGGAAGCATCATCTTTGACTAAGCTAGAAGATACCCATAACCCGAAATCATCTATAAAGAAGAGCTACCAAGTGCAGGAAAAACTGGGCCAAGTTTCAGGGAGACAGAGAAAGCATATTTTGATCTCAAAAGATATGAGCTACACCATGCACCATAAAATCTAGCAAAAAGCCCTCCGCTCTGAGCCAGGTGTCCTGCTAGTCAGAAGTGGAATCAAAACCCCAGAGGTTAGTGCTGTTAAAAAAGAATTTGAAAACAGACCCAAAGTCAACTTCCAGGAACACACAAACCCACTATCCCTAATTATCCGTTCCAAACTAACAGTTCCAAAAAGAACTCCTCCAAAACAAATATGAGTAATAAAGAAAAAGGATGTTATATTCGACATCCTTTTATTTTGTGAGTTCCTTGACTGATTTTTTCTTTTTTACAAAAATATTCATTTTTACTGCTTTTGTTTCCTACCTTTATACTGTCACTTTTGGTCTCTCCTTTTCACTCAAAGAGTCCCCTTTAATGTTTCTTGTAGTGCTGTTTCAATGGTCATGAATGCCTTTAGTTTTTGTTTATCTGGGAAACTCTTTATCTCTCCTTCTATTCTGAATGACAGTTTTGCTGGATAGAGTATTCTTGGCTGCAGATTTTTCCCATTTAGCACTTTGAATATAGCATGCCATTCCCTTCTGGCTTTGAAAGTTTCTTCTGAAAAATTCCCTGCTAGCCTTATAGGTTTCCCCTTCTAAGTTACTGTGTTCTTTTGTCTTGCTGCTTTTACAATTTTTTCTTTATTGCTATATTTTGCCATACAATTTGTCTTGGTGTGGATCTGCTTTTGTTGATTTTGATGCAAGGTCTCTGTGCCTCCTGGATCTGGATATCTGTTTCCTTCCCCAGATTAGGGAAGTTTTCAGCTATTATTTCCTTGAATATATTTTCTGCCCTCCTTTTCTCTCTTCTTCTTCTGGAACTTCTATAATGTGAATGTTATTACATTTGTTGGGAGTCACTAAGTTCCCTAAGACTATTCTCATTTTGCATAATTCTTTTTGCTCTCTTTTGTTCAGCTTGATGACTTAACATTACTTTGTCTTATATGTCATTAACTCATTCCTCTCCTTCTTCAGCCTGCTGTTCATTCCACCAAGTGTGTTTCTGATTCATTTATTGAGCCCTTTATCTCTCTGTTATTCCTTATCTCTGTTAAAAGTCTCACTCATATCTTCCACTCTTTTCTCAAGTCCAGTGAGTATCCATATGATCATTGCTTAAAATACTCCACCAGGCATGTTACTTACATCTACTTCACTTAGATATCTGGCCATGGCCTTGTCCTGTTCTTTAATTTGGGATAAATTTCTCTGTCTTCTCATTTTTGTCTAAGTCTCTGTGCCTGTTTCTCTGTGTTAGGAAAGTCAACTATATCTCCTGTTTTTGTTTTTTTTTTTTAAGATTTTATTTATTTATTTAT